TTGATCACTGTGTCCACTTTTTGCACATTCAAAAAGTAACTACAAGCTTGTATTCTGTTTACTTGGTGCATAAACACGGGAAGTCCGGCCGGTAAATTTGTTCCTGCCTGAAGGTCATAAGTATATTCGGGGCACTAGTTACTGCTAATCAGAACGCACGTAAAATACGGGTTCCAACTGAACGCTTGCAGGCAGAACAAACTTCTGAATGTCTTGCCATCCTTGTTTTTTGCTCATGCTTAGAAATGGTCGACAAATTGCCCAAGAAATTTGCAATGTAGACCACAGGGCCCACGGCACATTTTCGGCATACTAGGTTTCTGCCACCAGTTAGACGCTAGTTTACTGAATATCACACGGACGACCAAACTTCGGATCTTTCTGTCGAGTGCATCCACCGTGTGAAAGCAGTACTAGGAGCAGTCGGTTGGATAAAGATTCGATTCCAGTCATTACTTGTCCCGGATACCGATACCGGTCACCTCGTGATGGGGAAAATCGATAAGCCCTCGTGTGTTTGCTTGGGGTACCAACCCAGAGCGGCAATTCATAAAGTCACAGGACGGAAACAGTACTTGTTTTGGCCGTATCGTATCCCTTCTTCCATCTTTCAAACAGGCCCGAACAGCGTGCATAGCCAACAGATCTGTAGGTTTGGGTTGAGCCTTGGTCCTCCTTAAATGGACTCGGTTAGAGTTGGCAATGACAGATTTATGACGGTACGCAAGTCTGTAACCACCACTGTAAGCTGCTTTTTGTCGGCACTCCTCCTATCAGACTTCCTATCTGATCTGGAACTCTAGTCGTGTTACTGTAGGTGTCATAGCACATTTTTGTTTTTTCCCCGTGGTTGTACTGTATTCGCCTGACTCGTGCGGTCTGGTAACTGATATTACCCCACGGCATTAATTATTTCATGTCATCTTACCTGATTGTGACTATTTCGCCAGGCACCTGTGCTGCCAGTATGGCAGATCATTAAGTATTTGTATCAAAAGGTCGCGAGTTCGAGGCTCGGATGGTGCACCGCTTGAGTCTGGGTACGACTGGCTGACGACGGCTAATAAACTAGAAATGGCCATTCCAGTCTGCCTTTTCTTAACCAGCTGATACGGCTACCGCCAGGGCCCGAAAAATTGGCTCAAGGCAGAGCGGGACAAGTGAGTATTTGCATACTACTGACGGCCACAACCCACAATCGGTTAAACCTTACAACGAGTGCAAAAGGAAATAGAAATGGTATTTTATGCATCGGGGTCAAGGTGAATGGTTTTGTCCATCGCCCAGAGTCACCAGCTAAGACATGGCTGCAACCAAATCATAATTTCGACATTCGAACCGAAAATCAACCAAATGCAATGCGTTTCCTCCAAAATGCGATCCCTGTAGGCTGACTGCAAAAGTACAGAGGGGTCCCCAAAGTGAACGAGGTAAGACTGAGGCTGTGGATTTGAGATAAGTATTGAAAACAAGTGTACGAAAGTGTCTGTCAGTCATTTACATCCAGCCCGAAGTGCCGGTAGAGGTCTTTTACTGTGGTCATTTTGATATGAGCAAGTTGACCAAGGAGGAATTGGCACGCGTCTTTGACTTTGTTGTACTCATGCAGGACCTCCCGCCATCGTTTCAAGTCCGCCTCAATGTCTAATTCGCTCACATCCTTTATGCCACGAAGGTCACAAATCCTCAACTTGAGTTCCTCAATCTTCCGATCCAGTAGGCGCGCTTTCTCTTCCTGCGTTTCATCATTCTCCTTGGCTGGCGATTCGTTCTGGCTATGCTGAGCTACCTGAAAAAATGCATTAAAATAATTCCGGATCTATGCTCTAATAGGTATCATCAGAGCCGAAAATGCTGACACTGTCGACCGCACTAAGAAGACTTTATCTGGCTATCTTGTGGGGAATACCACTGACTATGATACTTTAGGCCCACCAACTAAGTATTCGCATGGCTAGAGGCTGCGGCTGAAGTAGCTCAAATACAGAATATACAGAGCGAATTGTGAGAACTGCGCGTGAGTCAGCCTACCTCGCGTGTCTGGCATGAAAACTTTTAATGAGTTCACCAAAAGCCAACGAGGGCATAGAACCGGCTCCCATTAATTAATCGGCAGGACTGCCTTTAACTTATAATAATAAACTACTTTCACATGTTAAGTAGGCTGAAATTCCGGTTTTTTCCGTTGAACTCCCCCAAGGTCGAATTTCCATCAATAGGCATCAGTTGCCTGAGCATCAGTAGTTTATTTTGGTGGAGTTGATTATATTTAGCTCATTAAAACAATTAAAAATGGCTTTAATTTAATATTGTTTGATCAGCTTCAACACAATTAAATATTCATTTACACTCGTTAACCAATAATTAAATGTTTCACCACCAATTCCGTAAGACAGTTGGGCGGGGGAATACATATTTGGGCGGTGCTACAAGACAGTTTTACTAATTAATCTAAGGAAATATGCCGGTCAAATAAGTATTTTGTCCCTTAGGGCAGTGAATTTGGAAGCGTGTAGCTAATTAGTAGACGCGAGTGGCTAGGAAATCTGTCAACAAAGCCACGAATTGCAGAAAATTCCGCCCCGGAAATCAACAAGTGGGCAGACTGAAGGTTTTTAGCGTTATGCAATCTGTTTTGAAACACTATCTACGGCAGATTCCCTAACTCATGAAATGTCGACCGAAATTCTGAGATGGCCTTTTGATTCGAAGAAATTACTTAAGTCGGGTTGTAAGACTGATTAGTGTGCAGCCTAATCTTAAGGTACATCAGTCGCCTCAGGATGTCTACTTTTGAAGGAGTTTTCTGAACGCCTGCAAAAAGCACACGCTGTAAAAATGACTACGTAAGTAGCATGCATTGATCTTCAATGTTCTTATAAATACAAGTATATTTTATAGAAACCATACACAAAAATATTCTTGTGGTTATTTTCTAGCAAACTACGCCTTCTCCCAATTTTTTAATGATCGAACGGGTATTTTTCAGTAAAAAAGCTTTCTAAATTACCGAATGTTAGACTCTACCGGCCGTTACACTTGAATTCGAGGCTTCCAAACTATATGCCGCATACCTTCGGTCTAAGGAAAATTACACCCTTTTCTACGGTACGAGGAAGGGGCCACACAGTTCTACAGAATATACGTTTTGCAGGTAGCCAGGAAGAAGCTCGTTCAAAAGCTGGCATTTTGAACTGTCTGAGATATCTTGAGATTATACTGCACACTAATCAATACTACAACCTTATTTACGTAATTCATTCGAACTAAAAAAAACTTCAGGATTGCAGTTGACATTTCATGAGATAGGAAATCTACTGTATGCCTTTAGGCGACCTCGAAGGGTCCCCCTCAGATCACAATTCGGCCTGGAGGGGTGATAATGCGTTCTGGATTGATCACAGTCAGGCCTATTACACTAATATACGATAAATGTTTTGCCGGAAGGGTCGGAAAATCTTTTGTGTTGAAGGAGGCGCAAGGTCTGAGGGGTTTATTGACGTGACAGAGTTGATTCAGAACCCTAAGCGTTACGGAATCTCGGCAAGAAGGCGTTAGCTGAAGTCTCACTGAAGGGGTAGTGGAAAGGACACACGTCACCACACTCGGATGGGGCCACCTTACGCACAGGAGGTAAGACCCCTTAGCCATACGGCGTAATGATTTCTCAACCCACCCCTGTTCACTGACCTGTACCTTCAAAGTGGGCCAAGGTAGCGTTCGAGTAGTACTCGACCGAGGCACGCCGATGGACGGATAATTTTGGATAGATTTATACGACGCAATTCGATCATCGCAAGCGACAACAGACAAGGTGTGCCCGACCGAGTGGGCGCAGCACCAGAGTTTATAGTCATGATACGACTTTCGAAGTACCGGCCACACTCGCAAATTCCCCACCTACCTGAACTGCAGACGGGATCAGGCACAGTAGCTGCCAACGTTTAGCACCCCGTCTGCGCGTGCCACACACACACGCACACCCGGCCGGTGCAGCATTTATCAGGTTTTCACAGAAGCCGGAAGAGAGCAACTGAAGTCTAGTCTGGGTTAGACGTGCTGTAGACGCCACATAAAGGGGCAGCCATTGTGATCTCACTCTCTGCCCGGTTGGCAGCCTTGAAAGTCACGGCTGCATCGTCAGCGTTTTTCGAATTCCGCGTATGGGCGTATGCCATGTGTTACTACTGGTCCTTATAAACTTTGCGAGCGCGATCGATCGGAAAGGGCATTGGAACGAGACAGGCAAGCAGTCTGCGTGTGCTCGCGCCAGGAAAGGGCTATTTTTTGCTATGGCTAATCGTAGGTTAAAAGCAGACTTGATTGTGGTAAACAGCAAATAAGTTATACCCACTTTCAGGTAAACTTTCCCCCGGGGAAGGCAAAAGAGAGAGGACAAGATAAACAAAACCTTCAAAGATGCAGTCGGACTGCACGGGACGACACGAGATGACGCCTCCGATTTGACCGATTTCCCAGGCTTCGACACTGGAGTCAAATTTATATCATCGAGAGTATTCCGCTGGCGTAACGGGGACTTGAAAGGCATATGGATACCACCAGTGCCTATCTGACTAGCACCAGCACTGAGACGGGGAGTTTTTGGGGGCCGTAGAGGCATCACTGGGAGATATAAGAACGGATTCAGGTACCGGAAGAGAATGCCGAGGTCTTTGGAGAGGTAAAAATGGTGGGGGAAGGAAGTTAGTAGGACTGGCATATCCTACAAACGTGTCCGCGGAAAGCAGTAACTTGACGATAAAAACAAGAACCGTTTCGAGTATGACTTTATTAAAAAAAGCCATTGGCCAAAATAAAGGCTTCATACGCTTACGAACATGCATCTGTACAGAGTGAAAAAATAATGATAATGAGGTATAATTTAGAAGACAAATGTGGGCGAAGGTTGAGGATGTTTCCAAGAAAGGTTATAAAAACGGTTGCTTAGGAATGCGTGTGTGTGGATAAAAATAAGTACTCTTTACTCAGGAGTTATCTGTAGGATTATACATAAACGCAATGATGAGACAAAAACGCGATGCACATATATATACATACACATGCATCGAGATATTACTAGTTTGGGTTAGTAAGGCCGAGGCTAGAGCACTGGGGACAATACCAACGCCCCTTAGGCTTGCTTGTGAGGCCCACACAGCTAAAGTGGAACCACTCAATGGGACAGTCACGATTATCACAGGCCACCATCTCGCCGTAGGAGACTTGCTGGCAGAGGCAGTAGGTGGGTTCATTAGGGTCCACGGGCATGTCCAGGACCTCTCCGGGATTGTTCGTCAGTGCAAGTGCCAAGGCTGCGGTTGCAGGCATCCTAGATAGTTGGGGAAAAAATGCAGAATAAGCACAACGAGTGGGCCGGGATCTAATTTAACAATTAAAATAGTCTGATCAGAAAACCCGATTCGGACACATGTCTTCTGTTCGTATACACAAGAGATAAGGTGCCATCAACATCCAGTCACACACCAGCCCTAGTTCATATGACCCCGCTCGATACAGTTCACCAGGACATTGAAGTGGTTCTTGGACCTTCGGTATCTGTCACTGGTCAAGAGAATGGACTAAACTGTCCAGACCTGCTGTCGCAGATAATCACGCGCGAAGAGGTGTAGCCTGTGATACCACCAAAGTCGGCTAGGCCGCGCATTATCGCAGCCGTACCAAGTACAAGCGAGTGACTTGCGCGTGAACTAGATTTTAGTGAGAGTAGACCTGCACAACATCTACCACACTCTACCCTCTTCCTCCCACATGGCCCCGCTGTAGTAGCCAAGCTAAGAAGGCCAGATGCAGGGAAGGATGGCTGGCTGGCTAGTAGCCCTTGTTGGATCAGGAGCCCCGCCGGGTGGGCCTCAAACCAGCGGAAAGGAGGAGTAGGAGCAGCATGGTCGGGAGAGGCTGCTCCGTCATCAAAAACACAGAGAGAGAGGAGGGGAGATAGATCCACCGTAGGGAGATTGGTGTAGCAGACCTTG